CTGACTGATGACTCCAATTGACTCTCCTTCCCTCCCGCCGGAACTAGCAACATCTAAATTAAAAGTGGTTTTTTATGTTCTTTTTCAAAACGGGATCAGTTGGTGATGTCTCCACGACAGCATGACAGTGCATCTTTCGGGACCGAATTATGTATTAGCTATATATATTTAGGGTGAACTGTCGATTTAGTTTTTACATTATTACTTGAGTAAAATAGTTCCCTAAACTTTTTTTGGAAAAATTAGACATCAAAATAATAAAATTTGCCAATTATATTCCTAATGTTAGATTCGAAGATATTGTATTCAATTTTTCGTCAATTTAAATCACGTGACTTGCATGTGATACACTTTAGAGAGTCGATTGATAGTTTTTCATAAGGACTTATTTTCTTCGAAGATATAGTATATGGAGTTAACTTTGAAGAGTACACTAGACGTTAAATTTGCAACCTATAAGCAACATTAAGGGCTTATAGGCAAGAAAATAGTGGCAATACCTTCTAAAATGTGTCATGTGACTTAAGTTGACGAAATATTGAATAAAATAGCTTCGAGTATAATTTTTGGGATGAAATTAGCAGTTTTTAAAGAATTCAGAGACTTATTTTACCAAAAAAATAATTCAGATACCTAATTTTCACTTAGGTGACAATTCAGGGACTAAATTGACAGTTTACTCTATATATTAAAAAAATTATATTGTGAAAACCTAATAAAATTTTGGTATTTTTTATAATACTTACATGTATTTAATACAATTATTATTGAATGTTAGATATAATTTATGTGATAATTGTATTTAATACAATTATCATCTGACCATTGAGATGGTAATTAATACAATTATCAATATAAGTATGGTAGTCAAGTCCTAAAACTTTAAACATGTTTCGGAAGGATAGAAAATGTAGATCTTAATTATGATGGATTCCTCAAAAACTTGCTATGTTAAGATGAATTTGGGGTTAACCACATTTTCTGTCACATCCCGGCCCGGGTCCCCACTGTGACAACCCGTCCCAAATTTTATTATTCTATAAATTTTAAAATTTTAATTTACGAGAACACTTTAGAGGTGAGGGTATTGATTTCCGTTGATCACTAGTTCATGACGCGTATGAATTATTATTGTTATTATTTTAAGGGTTGTGGTTGGAAAAAAATAAATAAATAAAAGGAAGGAGGGCTGCCTGATGGCAGCAAAGGAGAAGGGGAGAAGATGGGCGTTGCCACCAATCAGGAAAGAAGGGGAAAAAGAGAGGGGACGAATTAGAGGGAGAGACGGGAGGGAAATGAGGAAGGAGAGAAGGAGAGGAACTGGCCGGGTTCCCCTTCGACCCGCGCGACCCGTTTCAAAACCTGGCCACCCCGTGTGATTTTCTGATGGTTTTGCACCATTCCTCCGACGAATTTCAGCCACCCACCATCTAGAAATCAACTCAGCGTCATCTCCTCTTCCATATTCAACCATAAACCAACACGAATTGATCACGTTTTCGTGAGATAGCACTGAAGGGGTGTGCGGTGCATGGTGGCGAAATCCATCATTTATGAAATGAATTTCCTCGATCTCCACCACCATTAGACTCCCCTTGAGCCCCTAAACAAAGCCCAACCAGTTATAGGGGCGGCGGAACACCGAGGAGGGAGAATTGAAGCCACCCAAATTCTAGGGTTTTCCGACGGGTTTGATGAAATTAGGGCCCTTCTCGGCTAAATTGGACTTGGCCACAGGTATAAAACTTGCTCTACTCATTGAGATCTTCATTTATGTGAAATTTGGTAATTTTTGGAAATAATTGGATTTTCTGGCGAGTTGGGACGGCCGACCGCCACCCACGGTGGCGTGTGCGGCGGCGCGTGGCCAGTGGGCCACCAATGCTATTTTTAGGCTATGTTAAATATCTTGAATTCAGTTTTGATATTTGAATGACGTAGGTTGATCGTTGGAACCTAAATTCTCTACGAAACGTTAATAGGTATTTATGTGAATCGACGATCCAACCGTTAGATCATCACCAAACTTTGTTACATTGTAGTACGTAATATTTGAAGAATGTAGGAACTTACGGATTGAGAATCCGACTTATGGATCTTCCCGAATTGGATTTGTAAGTTAATAAAATAAAACGTTAACCGCTAATCAGTTTTGGAAATTGGCGGAGATCCAACCGTTGGATTGTAATGAAACTTAAGTATTTTGTTCTAGAAGTATTTTTTGTGTCATGAGAAGTTACGGATTGGAAATCCTAGATGTGGATCTTTCGGATCGAGTTTTACAGGATTGTGGACCCAACCATCGATCTTCGATCGACAGTTGACACTTAGTCAATGGGTCTCAAATTTTTCTTGAAGGTCCTTGAGGATATGTTTTATGTAAATTATGTACTCTATTGGTAAGAACTTTGAGACATGATTTGATAATTGGCCACAGGCGACGATAGTTCATGATGTCTTGATATTCGTGTGAAGGAGTCGTAGCACGGACCTGAGGTGAGTAGGCCTTTTCTCTTCTATCATATATATATATATATATATATATATATATATATATAAGATTGACACAAACGTTTATGATTTGATTATTGCATATAACTATTGTGAATGCTTTGAAGTACTAATGTGAACTACGAATGGCTTGATCCTTGTTTAGGGTACGTAGGCAGTCTAACGAGACGTTAGATGCAGCCATACAATAATTGAGACAATGGCCTTGTTTAGGGAATTGAGCAGTGTGAGAGATATTGGTGGAAAATATGAGATTTAACCTTATGATTTGGTGGTTAAATGTTGGTCATAAATCAATGTGTAAAGGATCAAGAATTTGAAGTAAGGAAGTGTAAGTAATGATAATTAATTAAACTAGTGTCTAGTTGGGTTGGTCACCGATAATTATTCCCAAAATAAATAATTCAGGAGTAGAGCGTTACAACTTATGCATTTTTATGCCACATTATATATATGTATGTATGTATATAATTCGAAATGCTATAACGTGGTTGAGTATCATATTTCATCATGGTTTATCTATATGTATATTACCTGCACACAATTATTATGAATGCTTTGAAGTGCAAAGGTGAACACAAGATACTCAGGTAAGTTCAGGTGAGTTTATGGTATTAGCTGAAATGAAGGGGCTATGGTATGACTACATGTATGTTTAGGCAACTCCGACCTTGTCGTATAGGTTGCAATGATAGGCAACTCCGACGCTGTCGTACTGGTTGCCCATGAATCGTATATGTTACAATAGATACAGTTAGAGCTCATAAACATGCACTCTGGTGTTAGTGCTTCCGCCCGTGGCCATGGCACAGTCCTTCACGTGATGTTCACCTCCCTCACCTTACGCTCACTTTGGATCCAAGGTAGGTGCACAGTCCTGTCATATAGACCACTATAGGTGGTTCCGACTTGTAGGTGACCCACGATTATTCGCACAGTCTTCATGTGATCATAGCACTTGAGTGTATTTATTTACACCTAATCCTATCGTACATACCACTTTAGGTGGTTCCGACTTGTGTGCAGGTATACTTATTGAATTATGGATAAGTCGTACAGGTCATTAGAGGTGACTCCAACTTATGAGCTAGTATATGTGATGAAATATGTGATAAGCTAGCATATGTGATGAGATATGTGAGCTAGCATATGTGATGAGATATGTGATAAGCTAGCATATGTGATGAGATATGTGACAAGCTAGCATATGTGATGAAATATGTGATAAGCTAGCATATGTGATCAAATATGTGATGAACTAGCATATGTGATAAGATATGGGTAAGTCGTACAAGTCACCATAGGTGACTCTGACTTGCGTGCTAGTATGGGTTATTAATCACATGATTATTGATATTGCTGATGAGATGCTGTGTTGTGGTATATTTATGATTTTTCTGGAAACTATACATGTGTTGTAGCGAAGGGTTATAATGTTTTATATGGTTTCTATTAAAATTTCATTTTCAGGACCATTCACCCTTGTTTTGTCTTCACCCTCCAGGTTTTAATTGCTCAGCTTTCTTATCATCGAAGATTCGTGGCGATTCTTAGTATTGGAGATTATTTCGAGGGTACGATTCTTAATTCACTCTACTGTACTTACTTATGCTCTAACGTCACGTGTGAAAATTCCCGCTTACCAACGCATTCTGGTATTTAGGCACTCTTAGGTTTAAATTTATTCACATTTTTCCACATCATCATACTTTATGGCTTCGTCACCCTTCATGTGTCGGCCAGCACAGCTCGATTAGGAGTCCTAGTAGACATCCCGGGCTCGACTTCACCATAGCACGATATTGTCCGCTTTCGGCCCCGACCACGTCCTCATGGTTTTGTTTTTGGGAACTCACACGAGAACTTCCTAGTGGGTCACCCATCATGGGATTGCTCTCGTGCGAACTCACTTAACTTCGGAGTTACGATAGAACTCGAAGCCAGTGAACTCCCAAAAGGCCTCATGCTAGGTAAAGATGAGAATATACATATAAGGCTTATAGGATCCATTCCACTGGACGATGTGGGATGTTACATTTTTACACCATTAAGGTTTAAAGTGATCTTCAAAATGGGCCACGAGGTTTTGATTTCTCACATTGTACTTGTAATATCCCAATAATTTATTATTAAAGAAGAGAAATATTTGGAAAAAAAAAAATATGTTGTGCTTATTTATAAAAAAGGTTTTCATATGAAGATAGTAAACGTTATTTCGAGTTTGTATCATTTTTCGGATTAGTTTTCGGGACTTTAATGAAATTTTGATAGAATGTCCAAGCCTGACAAATGTTAGAACACCACATGACAGCCAACGAGTGGCAAGATTGCCAAGTGCTAGCTGCTGGAGACGCCAGCATTTGGATGACATGCTGGTGGTGTTATCATCATATGATGGCACATGTCAAATATGATAAATTAAAGAGAAATCATAAGTCTTTGTGTTGCCACTTGGAAAGCTACCATTGCACCAAAAGAGATAAATAAAAGGAGAAGAAGCGGTGGATCATTTCAGATGGAACTAAGGCTTTATATTTCTTTTTCTCTTCGCAGAAAGATGCAGAGAGGAAGGAAGCAAGGAGCTTCATCTCATTGTCCAAATCAAATACCATTTTCCTCATAAATTTTGATTTGGAAGTCCGGATTTGATTCCGTTTTCGCTTACGAATTTATGGGGAAGAGTACTACAAATCTCAGGTACTAATTTATGGATTTACTATAGATTTTGGAAGTTGCCATTTTTGGATTTATTACTACACAGCGTAATATTTCGAATTCATGTGTTATTCGTGATGGCTTAAGCGTATTGGAAGCTTAATTGAATGAATTGAGATAAATTTGCCTATGGGTTAGTTGCTGTTAAACCCCATCCATGTTCAAGTTTGTGGATTTGGGGTATTGATATTATTCGACTAAATTAAAAGGAATGATGGCCTACTTTGAAGTAATTGAATCGTATAAATATGAGTATTTGAATTGAAGTTGGAAATATTTTGGACTGAAAGATGAGCAACATGAATTTGGAAACATGGTCGGCTGTACTGTTTCTGTTTCTGCAGTAGGGACCAACTTGAAAGATGAGTTTCAGATTTGGGGCCATTTTACAGTTCTCTGAACATTTAGGACAGTTTTGTAATTACCTGAAAGTTTGGGGTAAACTATAATTCTGGAACTTTTTTCGGACAGATTGTACTTGCTGTACAGGTTAGGGACATGAAGCTTATTTTTAAAGATTTGAGTACTTAAGTGAAATTATATAAATCTGAAGATCCAAATTGGAATAAGAGATGCTAAGCCTAACTTGGGAGTTCCAAAATATAGGATTTTACATTTGGTGCTATATAATGGATTATATAGTGATATACTTTTATTGTTGGATTAGGAACTCCAGTTACCGCGACGGTTGTGTGTAATCGAGGTGTTGGTAAGGGACACTACTTGTTTGCTTTGGACTCCAGGTAGGGGAAATACGGCAGACCTTTACGGAGATTGACTTTATTAAATTTTGTGAAACATTATATTATTATTATCGATCTTCTTGGTTGATTAATGTGATCTGGCTTGCTAATTGGATAAATAATGCCCCTGCGTGTTTACTTGTTATTGGTTATGGAATTATTGATGAAATGCTATTGGTTGAGAATATACTGTGGTATATGTGAATCATTCATAATTGGTCGTGTGGTAGGAGTTTTGGTGTTGAGGAAGTAATTCTGGAAATGAGGGTAGTTGGAAATAATCTTTTGTGTAGTTGAGCCAAACTCTTAGCAGGTACCAGATCTCAGGTGAGCCCACAGTGCACAGATTCTTTAAGGGTAATTCGGGACTGGCGACAAAGGGTTTTGGCAAGATGACTAACAAAAGGGGAAATTGGGATGATTGAGTTACATGGGGTTAATTTGTATATTAAAATATTCGAACCACCACTGCAGAGGTAAAATGCACGGTATGGGACGTGCAGGTCCGCGTGTTTTATTATATGAATTAACGGGTAGAGATGAAGAGTATTGTATTGCACTCATGCATTGTTGATGATAATGATTTGGTACTTGATTACATGATTTTATTACACTTAATTTAATATTGTCAATTTACTGTGATAAGGTTATGTCCCTACTGAGTTGTTGAAGCTCACCCCTCTATTGTTATGCAGGTTTACTAACTAAACTGTCAAAAGAGTAAACGTGATGAGATCAAATTAGATGTGAGGCTAGAATTGTATTTATTTATTTTTAGCTTTGTAAAGATTATGGATTTCTTTTTTATAAGAGGAGTTTATCTTTTCAACCCGTGTCATTTCTTTTATTTATTTAGCTTTTAACTCGCGTTTCGGACTCGGGATCGAGTTTTTACTACCGACCCCAGGTCCGGGGCGTGGCAGTACTCTAAAGTTTTGTAATTATATCACTTTACACATTTTGCTTATACAGCTAATTCTCCATTAAATTGATGATTTTTCAGCCAATTTAGTACAAATGTGACTTACATGTCAATCCAATTACGGATTCTATGCTCACTATGTCATAATTTAATGAAGACTCAAATAATTCGTTAGGTAAAATGCATAACTTGATACAGTTTTAAAACCTTAAGGTGTAATGTGAAATAGTTAAAATCTCACGGCCCAATTTGAAAACACTCCAAACTTAAAGGGCGTGAAATGTAGTTACTCCCAAATATTGATATATCTGTGAGATTGAAGTAGATTCAAGATTTGATACAGATTTAATACCAAGCTGGTGAGTTTCCTTGACTGTGGCTATGGGTATGGTGAAATTCCCTATAGCCTTTCCGGGCCCAAAATGAGTAAATAACTGTAACTTGCCACCAGTTGTCCATTTAAAAAAAAAAAAAAAAAGAAGAAGAAGAAGAAGAAGATTTGATACAGATTCTTAAAAGGAGATCTGTTTCTTGTAACATTTGATAAATCGATCGGGATAGTTAGCATTTAATGAAGCAAATTTCATATATTTCGAGAAAAAAAAATGGTTGAAGATGACTTAGCTTTCGACGTTAACATGATCACAATTGTATATAATTTAATAAGTTCCTTTTGTGAATATTTTATTGGTAAAAATTTGATTTGTATGGTCTAGATGTTCCTGAAGATCCTCGTTATTGTTATCAAATGAGAATGACATAATGGTGATGATGTCAAACATCCGCGATTAATATTATTACAAAAGGAAGCGGGAATTTGACATCAGCATGAGATAATAATGAATTTTTCATCCACGTAACTTCTGCATTTTACAACCAATCACTTTACGCCTTATTTAGTTACAAATCCACTTTACCAAGTTACCAGACTCCGATGAACCCTAACGTAGTTCGGTCCGTTGATATGATATCTAGCTGCTGTTGGGTTAATACTTTTGGTCCAGATGATCACATCGACCCAAGTTAGGACTCCGGCCCAAATTGGGCTGGGGATCCAATTGGCAGACTACACGAAACACAAAATGCGATAGGGTCCGCCACGTGTTCCATTCCTTTGTGGGTCCCGGTCCCGCCCCTTGTCCGCTTGAGAATCGCGTGCTGATCACGTGATACTAAAAATATCTGGATGATCACGCTCCTCCAGAAATGAACTTCGTCTCACTCTCTGCTTACCTTGATCCGATGTGGTTGGCTACTACCGTACATCACCAGCCGGTCCGTCCGGTTCCGACGATCTCCACGGCGGGTCCGAACCCGAAAGTCGTGTATCCCTGTCTTCCGAAACCGAAACCGTTTCGGTTCGGACCCGTCGGTGTCCGGCTCCGCCTTAACAAGTACAAAGTTTTGGCGGAAAAGAAGCAGCTCGCCGATTTAGGGACTCAGAATTCAGGTCTTCGATTCTCACTTTATACAGTTCGAATTATACTAATCCGAATATTAAACTGTAATTATTGTAATTTTATTTAGTAATTATATAAATTTATTTTGCAGATAGTGAGAAATTAGATGTAGGAGAAGAGAAAGTTGTAGAAGAAGAGGAAGTTGAAGGTTTGGATTTGGGATGGTTAGCTGCTTTTCCGCACGTGTTTATAGCTTCCATGTCGAATTTTCTGTTCGGTTATCACATTGGGTCAGTCTCTGAGTCTCTGTAACTTGCAATTGTAGTTAAAGTGTCAATCTTTTTTGTTAGTTATGAGTTGGGTGGGCTTGTTTTTGTGCAGGGTGATGAATGGTCCGATTGTTTCGATTGCCCGAGAACTCGGTTTCGAAGGGAATTCGATTCTGGAGGGACTTGTAGTTAGCATTTTCATTGTTGGTGCATTTCTTGGAAGCCTATGCTGCGGCACAATTGTTGATAAACTTGGTTGTAGAAGGACTTTTCAGATTGCCACTATTCCTCTCATTCTTGGTGCATTGATAAGGTAATTCAAGTTGATATTCGAGTTTTGAGATGCCGTATTCGACGTTGTGTCCATGTTGGTATCGGCATTTGTATTGTGTTAGTGTGCATTTTAAAACTTTTTGATGATTGGTTCATTTCGTTTCGTGACAGTGCACAAGCTCATTCCTTGGATGAAGTGACTTTTGGAAGGTTTCTTGTTGGCCTTGGCATTGGTGTTGACACTGTTCTTGTACCAATCTATATCTCAGAGGTAATTCTTCGTATTGGTTTAGTTGTGTTTGCATATTTTGTTCACGCAAATTTTCCAAGATGATGATACTACGTAGTTGAAATCCATGTTTCAGCGATAGTAAATGCTCCATTTCTATGGACTATCAAGAGTTTGGGTGAAATTGAAACTCATGAAAGTTGACCAACCTGCTTCGTTCTAATAAATCACTACTACTAGCATAGACTTTTCTGGACCTTATTTAAGTTCTCATTGAGCTTTAACACCAAGGTACACAATACAGCCGTAAATTAGTCCTTGCTAGAAAGTTATAAAAAGTTTCTTAATGGGTTTGACACATGCCCGTCGTTCTTGTTTAGAAGATTGAAGGTTATACTCGATAATACTTCTTCTCTGCATCACATGCATTGCATATCTGGAATGAAGTTCACTCATCTATCCTACCATATACCTTGCAGATTGCTCCAACAAAATATAGGGGTTCATTGGGAACCTTGTGTCAAATAGGAACGTGCCTTGGGATTATTTCATCACTGTTTCTTGGAATTCCCTCTGAAAATGATCCGCACTGGTGAGGTTCGGTTTATGCAGGGATTTTTGAAGAACTGCTTTTAGCTTTTTCAATGACTGGACCATTTAATGCTATCAAGAATATTTTAATATCTGAGCCTATATATTAAAATGTTTTGGCGTATCCGGTTTTTAGGTGGAGGACGATGCTTTATATTGCAAGTGTCCCTGGTTTTGTCCTCGCTCTTGGAATGCAGTTTGCTGTAGATAGCCCCCGTTGGCTCTGCAAGGCAAGACTCTCTCTCTTATTGTAGAAGTATGGAATTTATTTTCAGGTGTGTTGTTCCTCAAGCTTTAATATGTTGTTTGTGCAGGTAGGGAGACTGGACAATGCTAAAGAAGTTATCAAAAATGTTTGGGGAGCATCTGAAGTTGAAAAGGCGATTGAAGAATTTCAGTCAGTTATCAAGAATGATGGTAGTGATTTGGACAGCAGCTGGTTTGAACTTTTGAAGGAGCCAAACTCAAGAGGTTGTATCAAGGTGGCGGACTTAGGATGTCAGCATTAACGGCATCTTTGTGTCGAACATCGTATAAAACTTGCGGCACTTGCATTTAGCATCACCTTCTGTACATGATAAAAAATTGCCTTTTCTTAATTAGAGGGTGATTGGTAAATATAAGAAGTTTTATGTTTGGAAACTCCTTTGATTTGTACATGCAATATTTTTCTCTGAATTATATGCTGGCTTTCAAATCATTCCTTTCAAACTGTAGAAATCCTCACTTATCGACAAATCTTTGCATGGTTGCAGTTGCATTCATTGGAGGCGCCCTTTTTGTACTTCAACAGTTTGCAGGCATAAACGGAGTTCTTTACTTTTCATCATTGACTTTCAAAGATGTTGGAATCACAAGTAGCGCTTTGGCAAGTTTGTTGATCGGAGTTACGAACTTTGCAGGTTTGAGATAGGCTCTACGTATTTGTAGAATGATGGTTGTTTCTTGAAGAACCTCTCACCCACATCAATTGTGGTCATGGCAGGGGCACTTTGTGCTTTGTACTTGATTGATAAGCAGGGAAGGCAGAAGCTCTTGATTGGAAGTTACTTGGGAATGGTGAGCTGTATTTGGAATTAATGCTTGGAGACGATTAGAAAGTTACCATGTATATAGTCCTTAACATTAAAAATAGGAGGACGATTCTGTGTTTCATGAGTTGGAAATGCAAACACGGAATCATATTAGCAAACCCATGACTAAGTAAGAAATTCTGTGTCTGTGCAGGCACTTTCGATGTTTCTTGTGGTCTATGCCATCAGTTTTCCCTTAGATGAGCAACTAAGTCACAACTTATCGATACTTGGAACAGTCATGTAAGTCTGCAGTTTGTATGATTCCACACATAATAGTTTCCATAAACCAGTAGTCAGGTACATTTAACTCATCAAAATACTATGAAGAGTTCATTTGCTGATGTCCGCCTCCTCTGTTTATGCTTTCGGATAGGCACATTTTGTGCTCTTAAGAGAACTCTACTTTTTTTTTTTCTCGTCGCACAATTTTGTAGGTACATATTCACCTTTGCAATAGGAGCTGGCCCAGTGACAGGCCTTATCATACCAGAACTTAGCAGCAACAGGTCACGCGGGAAGATCATGGGATTCAGCTTTTCTGCGCATTGGGTGAGCCCTTGAATTTTGTTCCTTGGTTAATATTTAAAATAAATGTCCTGTTTTTTCTTTTTGTTCTATGATTTATTAATGTGTTCTCACGGTTAAGAGCGGCCAGGTTATTTCCCTACTTTTCCAAATCATGTTTTGCATTTGGTCCTCCTTTAAATGTTTACTTTTTTTCTTCTTCTAATTCATGCTAAATTTGTGATTCAGGTTTGCAACTTTTTGGTGGGTCTGTTTTTCCTCGACTTAGTGGAGAAACTCGGCGTTGCTCCAGTTTATGGTACCTTCGGTGGAGTCTCCTTGTTGACAGCAATTTTTGCAAACTACTTTATCGTTGAAACTAAAGGCCGCTCCCTTGAGGAAATAGAAATGTCACTAACCTCCGATTTCAGGGCTAGAGACAAGTGAGAGATCGAAGATCACGTTGAAGTTTCCACGATGGAGTTTTTCAGGCGGTAACTCTTGATGTTTCAGTCTCCAATCTCCGGGCAAGGTGTGTAGGATTCTAGGATCTGATATTGTACATCACACTACACATACATGCTGTTAAAGCTGGCCATTTTACTCGATTTCATACTAGTTCGGTTCCCGCTAAATTCTGTATGGCGAATACTTAGTACGCGTCAAATTATTCAGTCGAATATTTCGGTTTGGTGTTGATTGGAAGTCAATTTTCATGGTTTACACATTGACATTTTTGAACTGAATGTGATATGTGCATATACCTAATATGGCTATATCGCTTCCACAGACCACCAGTAACCCTGAGAAAGTGAAAGAGTAATTGGCTTATTCTTATATATGGTCTCCAAACCAGGAAGATACCACATCTCATTGAGTTAGAGCTTGTTTGAAAATGTTTTTAAAATGATTGAAAGCGTTTTTGGTGAAAATATTTTTGAAACCAATCCTTAGTAAGATGCAAGTGAGTCCTCAAAAAGTATATAAAGTGTTTCATGCAAGAAGCACCAGATACTTGCTTCCTGCATGAAGCATTTTAAGCGCTTTTAAAATCCAAAAGTATTTTCACTAAAAATACTTTTAATCATTTTAAAAGTACTTCTAAACAAGTTATTTATTTTAATGTGGAATTGATATTGGAAAATATCTTGAGTTCGAATTCTTACTCATTCCATGACAGGAGAATAAGTTTACCGAAAAGCATTTAAGTTTGTTCACGACCGAGTCAGTATACAATTGTGAATTACGATTGTAATTTAGGAGATTTGTTATTGTGATGGGAACATGAATTTAGTACTACCATAATATAAGTGGTCAATTTTTTTTTTTTTAAGTATCGAATCGCTTATATATTTAGTGTATCGGATCGTGTTCATGTCACACTCTCTGTTATTTACTCATCTCTTTAAACTCAAGTTCGAGTTCCTAATTTAAAATAATGGCTTAATTAGATTAATAATCCTCATGGTGATATAATAGTTAGAAGATAGTTCGTGGGTTAAAAAAAAAAAAAAAAAATTTAAGCCTCTGTAATGAATTTTGTTAGAATTTATGTTCAAATTAAAAATTCCGTTTTCACCAATATTAAAATTGAGATTAGCCTTTGTAAACACGATATTGACCTAAAAAGAATCTTTCTAAAAAGGATGCTCTAATTATTTATTTTTTTAAAAAGGAAAAAAAAAAGAAAAAGAAAAAAGGCCGATGGCGGGCGATGCCCGGGAAAATTCCAACTGTCGATCACGTCCAAGTCAGCGTGAGAGTTCAGCTCCCCCACTGGGCCCACTCCGGTCGTGCCACGTGTACGTTGGGACCAACTTGACCGTTTACGCGTCGCTTTCCAACGAACGAACGCACACTGCATTAGACTTTAGCATTCGGCATTTCTTCTTATTCTGCGTCCGGCCGAGATTGGAGTTTCTTCGCCACGGAAGCCGCCAAAATTTTCTAGGGTTTCTGGAGATTTCGGGCGCAAGCGAATGTCGTCGTCGGCGGAGACCAGTGACGGAGAGCACGAGGTGGAGCTGATCGTGCACGACGCATCACCATCGGGGGATGACGGTGGCGCGGCCGTCGCTGACGAGATTGCCCCGCTCTTGACGCAGCCGGAGAAGGCCAAAATCAATATTTTCACCCTCTCTTATCCTCGAAAAACATCTAAGGTACGATTCCCTCACTTTAATTTAATCCAAAATTTCTTCTTTTTTTTTTTAATTTCAAATTTTGTTGATTAGGATGATTTTGAATTGTATACGGATGTTAACATTTCTAGGGTTTCAATATCTTTCCCTGTTTGGTTGCTCTGAAAATTGAGGAAGTGAAACTATGATATACTTAAAATTTGAAATTTTGCACTTTTAGTTTTCTAGTACTCCAAATCCAAAAGCAGTGAAAATTTGAAAATGCTGGTGATCGTTATGTAGTTTAATGCCTCAGTGATTGAGAGCGATTGATCGGTTTTGGTTCCGTCTTAATAATCTAATGATTGTGTTGTCATTTTGGAGGGAAAGTACAGTAATATTAAATTCTGCAATGGTGGTTTTTGGTTGATTTGATTGATAGTTGATATTGGGTATCTGTGTACAGGATACAGTACGGAAAGCACTTGAAACGGAGACGTCCGCAGTAGCTCAATTTGTTTTGTGGGTATGGAGTGGATCGAGATACTCCGGTCTAATGTGTATGGCCATCTCATCTACCATCTACTTTGTCATGGAAGTTTTTGCAGATGTTTTTTCTGGTTAGTAAGTTCTGCATTCTATTCATCACTGAATTGCAAGTCGCAACATTTTTTCGCTGTATGTCTCCTCTCTCTTTCACTTGTCTTCCTTTTCGTTTATATTTTATATTTCTGTTATATTATGGCAGTTCAGTCCATTCCTTTGCTTGAGGCTGCATTTACAAGGTGTACGATTATCTTGGTATTGTCATTTGTGTGGCTGAGAAAGTGTGGACAGCCAATATCTGGGCTGGCAAATGTAAAAAATCTTTTGATTTCCAGAGCCCTTACTGGATATCTCTCACTGATGTGTTTCATTTATTGGTATGTCACCTTGTGTGTTTTTTTTATGTTTCTTTGGTAGGATTATTTACTCACTTTTTGATGTCAATGTATTCATGGCATGATACCTGCCTCGTTGACGTTAACAGTTTCCATGCTGCATTCTGCCCGAGTGAAAATGGCATGTTCTTTACCCATATAAATGTAAACATATTTGGCTAACTTTTATTTTAAGTTTGTTATCTGTGAGATGTTATTCTTGTCCACTACAGTATGTTTGAAATTCTTTTTAGGCAGCTTGTGAGCTCTGCCCTTTGCAACTTGATTCGTGATGGGAAAACACCACATAAATAACCAAAAGTTGACGCATTTTTCATTTCAGCATTCAAAGGCTACCTTTGTCTCAGGCTATTGTATTGAGCTTCACAACTCCAATAATGGCTTCGGTTGTGGCAAGAATCATTCTACATGAGAAGTATAAAATTTCAGACGTTGGAGGTATGTAGTATATAATGTTTATAATCATTGCCTTTCACTCTAGTTTGAAGATAATGTTGCATATATATATTTTTTTTCATGTGAAGATTTTAGCTTCTAGAAAAGTTCCTTAGACTACCTTTTGATAGTCAGGGAGTGATGTCTTTGTCAATTGTCATTCATTTTCCAGGTATTGCATGCAGTTTCTTTGGTGTGCTCTTCATTTATCGACAAATGCTGACCGCACAAGGTACAGAAATGGGTTAATATAATCTTATATTATACACTGGATGTGGATGCTTTCATATGTAGTAAGAGTTTAATAACTCTTCTGTCTGTCTAAAGGTAAAGAAAAAAATTTTGGGTGTATCACACTGATGTATATGCTGTTGCCCAGCTTATCATGTCTCTTCACTTTTCTGCAAGAAAACTACTCTGATATAGTAGTCCACCAAGGGCATATATAATTTCTTATAAATGAGGAAGAAAGTGTGTGTGAGTTTTGTGTCTCAATCGTCCTATATTTTGACAAAAAAAGTTTAAGCTCATATGTGTGATCGAGAGATTTTAATGCATGTCTTTAGATCATATTGTTTACTTACATTTCTTCAGTTACGGCCCCTGCTCACAGCATAATGTTACAAAATCTAATTAAATGGGCTTTTTGCATACAGTAATGTAAATTTTCGGTGTTTCCTCCTATTGCTCAGTCTTCCTTGCATTGTGGAATACTAACTTTTGAATTATGCATGAGAATTAGATAAAAATGGAGGAGAGAATACAAGTGTAAGGGGAAGCAGCTATATCTTTGCAGTCTTGGCCGGTTTACTTTCATCCATAACTGGTGGAATCAGCTACTGCCTTACAAAGGCTGGATCAAAGGCATCTGATCAGCCACTGTAAGTATTCTCTGCATTTATCTATTATCCTTCACTTGATTAATTATTCTAACTTCATGAAATTATGAAATGGTTGATAATGTGCTCTCTTTTATCTGCCAAACTATTGACACTGGCCATACTGATACTGTCCCATTGTGTTCAAGACCCTTTATGTAGCTTGATTCACTTTCAGTTCCTGATGGTTTTTTACAAAGAGGATAGCCTTTAATGAAGATGTTTATAACTGTTTAGGTTCCATGTTGTTACGTTGCATCGCTAAAATGAAGATAATAGTATAATCCAGTGGGAGCAAAACATTTCATTGCATCCGGGAGCCATATAGAAGTTTTGTGAGATAAAATTACCTAGATGAATACTCTGTTCAATTTTCAGGTTGACAGTCTTTTCATTTGGTTTACTCGCGAGTCCTGCTTCAGCAGCAATTTGTTTGTTTACCCTTGAGGTAAGGTTGATGTCATGGTTGCTGTACTGTTCTTTCTTTTTTTCATCATTTCAATTCTACCACACTCCATGTTAAATGCATCACTTATCACTGATAGTCTAGCAACTTAAACCTAGGAGTTCATCACGGCCCGGGAGTCATATGTAGCTTCAGTGCTTTCAGGTTATTGCTTTTACATGTTATGTACATTTTGGGTTGTGCTAAATATTTATCCTTTCCTTTTTTCAGGATTTTGTTTTCCCAGATTTGCATTCCTTTTCAGTTATGATTCTACTTGGTGTTCTGGCCTTTTTTGCAGAGGTGCTGTTTTGAACTCTCTTTTTACCTGTTGTGCTGCTCTGGTTAATGGAATTCTATTTATCCGATAATGCTCCAGCAGTTGTGGACTTGTGTGAACTTTTGTGCTCGATTTCAGGTATTCTTGGCACGCGGATTGCAGCTTGAGAAAACCGGCAAAGTTGCAAATGTTATATACATGGAGGTACGTTCCCTGTTTGAATGTAATTACCACTCGCATGATTTGATTACTAATTGAGAAATCATTGAAAGTGTGAAGAAATTTTGGTTCAACCACCCCCGACGATTCATTCACGCAATGCAGTCTTGTTTTGCTTTGTTTCAGGCTGCCCTGTCACAGTTATGGGGCATTGGTTCATCAAGGATAGCTCCATCCTTTGGTCGAATTATCGGATGTCTGCTTATTTTCATTTCTGTCAGTTGCACCATGTATTTTGGACCCGATAAAGATACGGAATGACGGGTCTTCCTATTCATTCTTAAACTGTATGCCTGACACCCATTTGTTCGCTTAAATAGTTGAGCACAAGTTAGCAAAAGCAAATATCTTCATTTGCAACTGGTTGACATAATTAAGTCACGTCAATATTTTATATCATTATTATTTTTTATCTTATTATCTTTATAAAAAAATTAATATAAAATATTGACGCGACTTAACTGGAACTTCACAAAATAACAGGATAAGAGCAAGGTATAAAATATCGATGATATCGGAAATATCGATAGTTCAAAAACACGAAAATTTCGATGGAAATATCGGGATATTATCGATATTGATAAAAATTGAATAAAAACCACAGAAATTGTAAAAAAACTTTGAAAATTTTTATTGAAACTTTGCAAGATGTTTATTTAATCAATTATCTATTAGTTTATCATAAAAAATTGGAAGGAAATGCATTGCATGGTAAATATAACTGATTTAAGTTGATTATATAACGAGCTGGCAAACATTATGAGTGTAGAAAATATGTAATAATTAATGAAATAAGTTTAAACTAACCATAATCATTTATATATAATGAATTAGTACAATATTTTACACTTTATACATTGTATGGTAAGATACGTGACTTAGCAAAATCTAAAATATCGATAATATCGGTAATCCAAAAAAATATCGGTAGTCTAAAAACACGAAAATTTCGATGAAAATATCGGGATATTATGGATATTTTAGACCGCAGATAAGAGTATATGGAACTGGAAGGGCTGAGAGGCCGGGTCCCTAAAAAACTTCTTACCAAACGATTTTTCAACAAGGGTTTTCAGATTTAGGAACCACTTCCTACGACCACTTTTCACCTAATGTGAAATACAAGTAAAATTATTTTAGAATTTATGATCTCAGACATCCAAGGAAGGATAAAAACAGCACAAGCTCTCGAGCCCGGCGAAAGGCGAAAGCTCTTAGGCGGCCACTGCGAATGTTCTTGAGAAACAAGCCTTCGGATTTATCATCACTGACCAATCAAATACTCTTATATTTCTTAAATAAATTATCAACCATTTAATTAAAAACTTTTAAGCCTCAGAAAGCCAGTTATTTGACATCAATAAAATTCAGTCGGTAATTCCAACTAAAATAACAATCCTCATAGGCTCAACAAATTATTTTCTAAAATAACATAATATTTTTTTTTAATCAAAACCAAATAAAAATTCAAGAAAATAAAAAATGTAATCGCAGTAAATCGGCTCCGTGGACCGGTAAAAGATTAGGATCCACAGGTTCCTATCAGAATGCGAAACAGAAGATCCTCGCTCTCGGTTCAATCATAGCAACGTCGGTCAAGGCCATTTTAGCTACCGTCGTCGTGGCATCGAACCTTTCAAAATAATCACACAAAATAAATAAAAAATAATTAAAACTGAATAATAATTGCAGTAATCGGAAAAACTCAAGACCCTCAGAATCCCGTTCCAAATCACACACGGCGGCGGCACACCGGAGCCGCACGCCTGTTCCCGGCCAACGAACCAATCATTGGGGGATGAGAACGAGGCGGGCTCCGTTAGCGTGTGGCCGCCGCTGTATAAAGTGTCATACGGCACTTCCTATCACTTTGGGCATTCTTCCTCATTGAGATCGATCGGAAAGAAGCAAAAATCAAAAACCCTAAAACATCCTAAAACCCTAGAAATTGACCGAAACACAAATTTGGGATTCGGGAAGAGAGGCGCGACCGCTGGAAGAGAGAGAACCACCAGAGCAATTTGTGAATTGATAGGACGAGAGGGGTTTATATAGGGAAGGTGAAGATGTTTGTAAAACCCTAATTGCCCTGTATGGGCTTTGTTTTAGCGGGTTGGGCTCTATTTGGGCTAATATGACCGATATAACTATTGGGCCTCATAATTGGGCTGAAGAACGGGTCCTGCAGTTGGGTCCACCCGGCCGGCCAGAGAGCATATGTTGCAAACAGGTTTGAAAATTTTCAGCGCATTGCTGTCTCTGAAAGCAAGAACTCGGTGGAGAGAGAACACCAGCCAAACCAAATTGTGGTGGTTGCCGTAAGGCGGTTGTTTGGGTGGTGAGGCAATGTCGATGGGGACTGACAGCACTTGGGTGGGGAAGAAGCCGCTGCGGCGCATCGGCGGCATGGCCGACGCCCTCGCCATCGCTTCGGATCTCGGCTTCTCCGTCGCCGCTCCTCCTACCCAGGTAAACCCTCGCTCTCCTTTTTGCACATTTCTATGTCCTCCATGTTCAATTTCAGTGTTTGGCTCGTTTGGACTTATGAGCTTTTACTCCCTATGTTTTAGCTTTCGTACATTTTTCAGATTTATGAGCTTAATTTTGAAAACCCAGTTGTAATTAAATTGTTATATGTTGGTGGAAGAGGAAAGCTGATTACTTGGTTAATTTTGTAATGTGGAAGCTTCTTGCTTTGAATTTCAGAAAAGTTGAATAATTTTTTGTGATGCAGGAAGAGCTTCAGAACTTGTCCAGTAGTACTGGTGAAAAGGGTGATGACTTGATAAAGGTTTTGAGGGACCTTACCTCTGTTCAGAGAAAAATAGCAGATCTGCAAGTTGAACTCCAAGGGAGAAAGGTGAGCTGTTGGAGTCCCTTTTTTCGTGTTTTGAGTTTGTGAGATTATCTTATCTGTTTTCACTGAATTGGGATTATATTGTCTGTAGGATGATAAAAACGTAGCGCATTTGACACATGTGAGTGAAATGGAAAAGAAGTGTGAAACTTTGGCCAGGATTACTACCATACTGAAAGATGTGATTCAGAATAAGGTAAATCTGTTGTGGTACATCATTGTGTGTTGCTTTGTTCTTGTTGTACATTGGGGTTATGATTGGATTGGTTTGTCTTTGTTAAATCATACAATGATTTAAGATTCATTATCATTTGCATATTCTGTCCACTGTGCATTCTTTGTCAAATCATACAATGTCTGTAATAGTTGCAAAGTCCTCCTGGCCAGAAATGGACTATAGCATTTCTTCCGAAGCGATTTCTGGTTTTCCTATCAAGAATATGCTTTAGTAGATATATTCCAGGCATGTAATGTTGTAGACTGATGCTTTGGTTATCATGTTCTTTGAAAATTGAATTTTGGTGGCATAGAAGAGCAAATTTACAGTCTATCATTCATTGAGTTTCTTTTTTATGCCACTTACATATGCAGTTGTCATCATTCATATGCATGTTTAATTCTCAGTAACACCCCCTTTATTTTTGTGTCTGAATAATACCTCCTTATTTATTTTGTTTCAAATCACTGGCAGGATCGGATCATAGCCCGTCTTCAACAACCTTATTCACTCGATTGCATTCCAGTAGAAGCAGAGTATCAGGTTTGAATTCAGCAGTATAAAATCTCTTAGGTTTGAACTCATGTAGGTTGTCTTGTATTTTACATTCTATGCTATGATTATACATGAACCATTTTGTTTCGACCAGTCTAAGAGTGTTTGTTGCTAAATCCAAGTCATATTTTATGGGAGTTTAGATTGATCAAAAGATTCAAAACAATTGTTGGGAAAAAATTAATCACTACAGGGCTATTTGTATTTCATGTGAAAGAACTGTTTTCTTAATGTTTCTGGAATCTTTTGCTTGGGCCTGTGCAGAAACAATTCTCCGAATTATTGATGAAGGCTGCTAGTGATTATGGGGCCTTGACAGCATCAGTTGCAGATTTCCAGTGGAGTCAGACATTTAAGGAGCCTCCTTCGGTTTGGGGGGTATGTTTGCAGGAGCTTTTCGTTTGTTTCTAAATTACTGAGAATGCATGTAGCAATAGTTCTTTTTCCACATTATTTGCTTCAATTTTGATAATATTCCTGATGTTGCTTGGTTTATAAGCTATAAGACATTTAATTGTTGGCAACTGCGGGGTATGATACTGTTGCAATTTGCTGATAATAGCACCGAAGGAGTTGTTTAGATATCTGATCTACCGTGTACTGTTAGCAGAACGTGCGAATTAATAATGCAGATGTTGTAAAACTTTTTACGTGGGGAAATTATGTATGCATGATGTGATCTTCATTTTGTTTAACTGATGCAGGAAATGCTTCGTCCAATTCCTGTGGCATTAGCATCATGCACACGGTTCTTTGAAGCAATGTCTGCCATGAGGGAATCGTTTTCAACACTTCAGCATCTCAGAGTTGGTCATACTGATGCGCCTTCGCCTATAACACCAGGCAAGCAATCCTCCCGAAGAATACCAGGCGATTCTGAATGTGTAACTCCACCTCCTTGGAGAACTGAACCAAGCTTTGATGACTTAGCTATCAGAAGCTCAAGGAAGGCTGAAGTTGAGCACCAAGAAGCCGAGGATGAACACAGTGAGGTAGATGGAACTAGCCACCGGAGATTGTCATGGCCTCCATCAGTTAAAAAGAACGGTGTTTAGTCAAAATAACTGACATTCGTTTCTTGCGACTCTCTGTATGTGTTTGTGTGATATAGTAATTGTATAGGCATCAGCAAAAACAATTCCCGTAAAATTATTTTACGCCTTGAAACAGTAACTTAGTTTGTGCAGCAATACATATGTTTTCTATTATATCGAAATGTTTTGAGTTATGCCTTCAAATTTGTATTCTTTTATTGCCCCTACTCTTGTTGGGCCGTCACAGAATGTCGTTAAATCAAATGATCGTGTCTAAATTTCGTTATACTTTGACCATGCCATATAGGACTTTTAAGAAGACACCAGCAAGTTCTCAGCGGCTCTATGCAGTCAACTCTCAACAGTAGAGCCAGTGAGACTCCGGAACGTCCTCGTGGCCCCTCTCTCTTTTTAGGCACTATAGTTTTGCTACCTGTGTTGGGTAAGAGCAAAGTTCCGTTGTTGAATTTACTACTTAAATAACGCAGATAATGTCGTCTACCATTTCTATTCATAATAACTGATCACGTTATTATTATGTAAAAGAAATTGTTAGAGAATTTAAACATTGCGTAAACGGAAGTGGTTATTATTAGCAATCGAGTAATGCCTTTCCTAAACGCTTCTCTTATACATGCAATATTTTTTTCAATAGGGAGGAAAAGTACACATTTTATTTTGATTACTTACAATACAAATGGCAGTTTGTGTGTGAAAATTAAAAGATCAACATCTCAATGACAATGTGGTCTAGGCTGTAGCAACAACTGAACATAACTCCACCGCGTTAAATGTTGCCAACTTTGCATGCACCTTTCACATCTACGATCCTCAAAAGAGAGAATTTTTAGGACACATACGTCATATGTCATCATACAAGTAGATATGATTATTGTGCAGATAGTGCTTTACTGCAGTGACGAAAAACAATCATGAATATGTACCTTCGTACCGTTTCGATATACACCGACTCTTCTCTCCTTAACAATTAACTATCTAACTAACTTTAACGTTATCGCTCTACGCAAAACAATAAAAGGACCATGTAGATTATATCAACGTCATCCAACAGTATTAATGTTATTGCCTTCGCAGCTAAGAAATGAACTTCCCAACATTCAACATTCAACATTCCAGTATTATTAGACTAACCAAGTGCGTGAAATATTTCTACCAATCAAATTAACAAAACAACCTGCCCTCCACCCAATCGAAACGTAATTACCATAAGAAAGTGCCACCACCAAACTTGCTTAGAGTTATCATAAAGTCTGGATTTTTATGATATTTTTCAGTTACTGATCCATATTAATAAGAGAAATTACATTTTACCGATGAAGAATTTTGTCAAATACTTGGTGGACTTGTAGTCGTCAGCCAAATCATATTGCATACATATCAACAAATATCGACATATGTTAAAGTAATCTGATGAGTGATATTGAAAGAATTTGTCGAGTAATGTCCATGAAAATTGTCGAGATATACTTAGCAAACATTACATAAAACACTCGATAAGTACAAAAAGACTAGTACCAAACATTCAAAGGCTCATCGGAACACATTTACATGTATATTTCTTGGACTCTGAGTGGTCAACCTTGATCCCAATATACGTTGCCACAGTTCTAATCGCATGAGGTGTTGTGTACACATCTGTCTTCCATTTATATAAATTCAGAGTTGTATAATGTGTCGTGTAATAAAATGCAAGCTCTGGCAATATTGAAGCCAAATTTATTATGTTCAAATAGTCAACATGTTGAAATAAAATTGTGCAGATGCGTTTTACTGCAATGATTGAAAGTAATTATATCTATACATTTTAATACGGGTTCCACTGACTCTTCCTCCCTTAACAATTAATTATCCAACTCATTAACTCTATCGCTCTACTCAAAACAATTGAAAACGATGTAGATTATATCAATGTCATCTAACAGTATTAATATTGTTGCCTTCGCAGCTAAGAAATGAACTTCCCAGCGTTCAAGATTCCCATAATATTAGATTAACCAAGTGTGTGAAATATGACAACCAATCAAATCATCAAAACAACCTGCCCACCACCCAATCGAAACGTAATTACCATAACAAAGTGCCACCACCAAACTTGCTTAGAGTTAGAGTTATCATAGAGTCTGAATTTTTATGATATTTTTCAATTACTAATCCATATTAATGAGTAAATTACATTTTACCGGCTCAGATTTGATTGCAATTGCAACTTCTATACATCATTGTTAAAACGGATTCTCAAACTGACCCTCAAATATTAAATGTTTTAAATAACTAAATTTATATAATGAAATTATTATATCAAAAGATGACCCAACCAAACATGAAAGGGCCTTGCACATGACTCGTCACGTATTTAGACAGACAACCAAGAGAGTATATACTCCGTAGCATGAACATATTTTTTTAAAATATTGCATTAAATTACTCATTTCTTGTCGTGAACCTCTTTTTATATCTCTTTCATCATGTTATCTGTTTGACTTGACAACCAGAAAGCAAAAAGATGCACCAGCACACATGAACATGCCCTTTTCATACAAAATATCATTCACGATGATTAAAAAGCCTAATGTCCATTTTAAATTGAAGAAAGACTTGCATACATCTTAACAGTATTCAAACCAATAACACACTGACACGTATCTTACTCTGATAAGTTCACACTTCGAGTACATTCCAAATGTAGATAAGTTCCTCAGTTTTGCGAACACAGATCAAGTTACAGAAATGATGAATCATCATCCAACTTCCAATAACATGCATCATGCATTGCCCTTGATGTATATTTTTTTTCTTCAAGAAATTGAGGATTTATAGAGCCACTTGCCTCCCCATCTACGAAACTATCGACATCCCCCGCACATGAACTTCACGCGATTTGTATACACACTGCATCTCTGTCCTTGCTCTATTATTTTACCTAAACAAATCAACGGTTAGGTTCCAACTCCTGCCTGGGCCCTACAACTAAACCACAGATTGTTCGTTCCGAATTTGGATCCTCTCCGGATCTTTAATAAATTGTGTTCGTTTATTGTATATATCAGTTTTTGTCAAATACTTTTTATAGTCAATTTTAAATAATAAAATTTAAAATAATTTCTGATCGCACGATATACGATGAACGAATACAATACACGGATCTCCAGAATTTTTACAAAAAAATATTCAGAGAGGATCCTTATTGGTTTGTCCCTACCACGAAATCACAGATTGTTCGGTTCAGATGGGAGGAGGATTCTCTACCCTCCTATTCTCATCCCCTTTCATCTTCTTCTCTCATATATTGTTTTTTGTCTTATTATTTTTATAAAAAAAATAATATAAGATGTTGACATAACTTAACCGTGACCGTTTAAATAAAAGAGAATAGAAAGATAGAGAGATTAGGAAGATAAAGAATCCTCTGTTCAGATGAGGCCAAGGAGTTTCCGGATCCTGCTGTTAATCATTGAAATTCCTGATCATGGTGGGGTCATGCACCATCAAGGGATAGTTTAAGGTGCCACGACCCATACGCTAGCCAAGAAAGGCCGCATGCCTGAGCCAAAAGTTAAAGGTGAAAACCCTTTATGATATAATCAGTGTTTAAAAAATCGGTACCGATAGAAATATTGATTTGTAAATTTGTAAAAATGATGATACTGATATTGGTTCCCATTAGTAAAAATTTGCTCAAACATAAAAGCTTAAAATAAAATTTTAGAGAATGTTAAACATTAGTTTAACTTTAGACATCGACAAAAAAATAAACATTAGTTTAAACAAATATGAGAGTTTCTCCAAATATATCTATATGTCGGACGTATCGATACATTTTGTCGATTTCAACAAAAATTCAAGAATTTCTCTGATATGTGGTGAAGTAAACTTCACTCCCATTTTTCATATGTATCATATCGAATAAATTTTAAGCACTAACCAAAGTAATGTGGCACACTTACATTACCGGGTAGATTAATGGCGTATTCTATCGATCACATAATGGTGTATAAAGAGAAATTACGCTATGACATTGTATAATTGGCTTAAAATGATACTGTGCACAACAATATATTCATATCATATAAATTAATCTTGTAGACATCCACTAATTAATTAAGTTGGCCGGACAAATTCTAGGAGCTCATCGTTGGACCAAATGGATGTGGCTACAGAAATCACTTAAGAGTCCTAGAATGGAAAGAACTCAATTTCAGCATAAAAACAATTCCACAACAGTTTGTAACAAACAAGGACATAGCAATAGACTTGTGATCAACTTCGGATATATGCATCTTTAAGGCTACAAGTTCAGGCTACAATTTCATGCTTAGACTGACTTAAGCATCAAAGCGTACATAGCTGGAACCACCGCACCGGCGCTCCTCACTTTCGAGATCCAGTCCTCCTTTGTTTCTCAAAGAATTAAGTGAAAGACGTAATATTCGATCCTTGGTGATTTTATGCATCAACAACTACCTTACTCAGAAATCTTGACTTGGATTTTTTGTTGGTAAGTGTGCCTTCTCTTGCCTTAAGAGCAAAGTTTTTTTCTTTATACTTTTCAATGTGATATTCAATTTTAAGTTTCTCTAATTCATGGGAGGGAGGATACAAACTTGAGATGACACACTATCTTAACCTATGACAATCTTCAAGACCTATCGCATTGTGTTTGATTCCAAAAAGGGTGGTGAAGTTGAGTATTTTTGGTTTTCTCATCCAATTCAAAGACTTTATATTAGTATATTTTGGCTTTTAAAATTTGGATATTTTCACTGAAGTTTGAGTTTTGACAATTTAAATGTGTATCGGAGATTGTTGAAGTTAAAACTCAAATCTTATTATTTACTTAGTTGAATAATATTTTTCTTGAACTTAAATTTCGTATTGAAACTCAAATGGTCGAAAATCTATATAAGATTTGAGTTCAGATATTCCCTTGAATTGTAAATTACTTTGAAAAATAAAGTCTTCACTACACGCAATTAAAGCTTTAATTTTGGGAAAGGGAGCTTTCATTAAAATTGATGGTGAAGCATGCAAACAAACAATTATGATGGATGAGATAAGGATAGATTTTTCAGGATGACTGTCACACGAGATAGTATACCACGTGTTTTCATATAAATGGTAACATATATGTGTTAAAAGGTTAATAACTTAAAAATTAAAAATTTCCACCACTTACATAGAAACACGTGGTGTACCATTCATATTCCTGTCACAACTAAAAATTTATATGAGATAAGAGCTGAAATTGAGAGAATATACGAAGGCACCCTATTCACATATAGATATGGATTCTTTTCTTTTATATAGGACCACCACGGTACGCCCACGTACACAACTTTACCAGCAAAAAACAACTACGACCGCCGTATACGCGCTTTTACTTCTCTCTCCTATGAGTCCAATCGTCTGACTCCCAATTTTCAGTCCCAAATTCTGTATTAGTCCTTTGTATTGCAGCCATTCCCATTTCCGTCCTTCCATTTAGCTCTTTTTAACTTTATAACCCCCAAACTTTTATTGTTATGTCACTTTGGTTTCTCTGCCAATGTATGCAGTGGCGGAGCTAGAATTCTGAATGAGGATAGGCCTTTCACACACACGCACACACACACACACATATATATATATATATATATATATATATATATATATATATGATGTGTGTAAAAAGTTGGATTCATAACATGTTGACATATGCAATTTGTGTAATCCTCACAAAACTGAAAAAATTCTCTTAAATTCAATACTAAGAAGAAAAAAAATGTAAAAACCCAAACAACCAAGAAAGAGGTAGGTTGTGGAAGGCTAAAGAAAATACAGAGAAGTAGAAAAAGAAGGAAAAGGGGGAGAGGTCTGCAAATAAAGAATGTGGGTTGCTTTAGAAAATTATAGGGTATATATTACTGTTAGGTGAGAGAATCGAACCAGAAGATGGGTTGTTTTTTCCATTTAAAATTGCACATTTCTTTTAAAACTCCCCTGCCAAATTTATCGTTTCATTAGACAGCCGAAAAGATTTAAAATCAAAACAGCTTAACGACGTCGTTTGCTTCATCTTCTTCCATGAGGTTCACACCTCAGATGAAGTCAGGATGGGCCGGAGACTACCCTAGTCCCTTGGTGGCTCCGCCCCTGAATGTATGCTAATTTTTACGTCCAATTAGTATGTCCGTTCACACCATATGTTGATAGGAACTCACACTTCGACTTTCAATTAATGTACAACAAGTATTATATTACTTATTGACAACTATTACAACGACGACAACACATTTTTCTTTAAGCTCTTATTTATAATAATAATTAATACAACTAATTAAGCAACAAACTCAACAACTCAACCAATATGTTACAAACAATTGGCACGTGGACAATCAAGATGATGCCATTTGGCGTCATATAATTGTTTTAAAGTCGAAATGACAGATGCCTTAATTTTGGGTATAAAATCAAATGAACTTTCACAAAAGGACCAAAGTGAGACAAAATTAAAACTCATAAAAATTCAAGGGCCAAAGTGAGAAACAACTTACGCAGGCGATAACAGCTCGCGCGGTTATTTCCCAGGTTTCCTCGAAGTTCCGGCACTCTTATCCCGTTCTCTTCACTTTTAGAAATTTCTCTGACTCTCTGTCCCCTCTCAATCTCTCTCTCTCTCTTCCACCAAACGACAGCTACTGAAGAGAGAGATAATGGTGGCGGGAAGCACATGAGATCCGCAGGAGGGTCGAATTTACCATTGTACCCATCTCCCCGGCTGCTCCCGTCATCCTCCTCATAAACTCCCCCCAACGGACGTGTCCCTGCCGAGTCGACCCGCCTCCTCTCCTCCTTCGGACACGACACCGTCCTCGTCGCCTTCGAATCCAAGCAACTCATAAATATCCCCAAAAAAGAAGAAAAAAAATGAAATTTAATAATTTAAAAAAAAGATGAAATCTTTGCTCTGAAAATCTCCGGAGGGTAAAGGGTTTTTCTTCCCTCCGCCGTTGATTCGTCCACGTGGACTCCCCCATTCTCTCCCTCTCTCCTCTCTCTCTCTCTCTTCCGGCGTGCCTTTGCCCTCTGTTATGAAGTTCGCCGGTGATTGCTTTCTCTTCTTTCCACGGAATTTCCTTCTTTATCAACAAGGTCCTCATTTCTCTCTCACTCTACCCTTTTTCTCTCTCTAAAATGCATTCAGTGCATGCTTCCATATAAGAAGCATAGACATATAACCTTGTGTATTTGTATGTTGGATTCTGGGTTGTTAATCATTTGTGAATTGTGGGAAGCAGTGATTGGTGAAGAATTGGGCAGAAAGCATGAACTTGATGGGGAAAGGTGACGCTGCCCGCTGCATTTTCCCCCTCACCGGTTTGCAAATTGGGTAACTTTCTTCAAAATTCAGCATTTACTACTTCAATTTTTATTCTTTGGTTTTAATTTAATTAATTTGTTTAAATTCTCAAATGCCCTTTTTGTTTTGATCCTACATGCACAGTTTTTCTGTGCGAGAATTGGGTTTTATGAGAAATTTAATTGCATGGCAATCTTTTTTCTTTAAATTTTCAGCTCTGGTGAGTGTTTATTTGTTAAGATTGTAGTTTAGTATTGCTAAATACAGAGAAAACCTTATGCTTTTTCATGTTCTGAAACATTGTTTCGGGTTTTTTTGTTCTTTTTGTGTGAATAATGAAGTGATGTGGTTTGTGCTTTGTGATTGCAGAGACTTGCAGTCTTATCTTTCGGATCTTAGCCTTTTCCTGGCCCTCGAAAGCAAGAAATTCTATATCTTGGTGGACAATCGGCCATGGCTGGGCGACCTAGGTTCGCGGTCAGCACACTTGTGGCAATTGATGGTTACCAAGGTCAATCTATAGTCACCACACTCTTATTGATGTTCAACTTATTTGTTTTTCAATTCTACTTTACGGAGAATCAAAGTTTATATTGGTTTGATTTTTCAGTCAAGGTTGTCTCCTTTTGCAAACACTAAGGCGCGGAAGGTGAGAACAGAAGGAAATGATGCTTGCCCCAGACCAAAGACTGCAAAACCAAAGAAGCTTGCTAGGTGGTTCTCATTAATCAAGCATCAGAAGAAGGTGTTGTTACCTGTAAAGAAGCTGCAGAGATCTTTGCTTCTAAGAAGGGAGTTACATAGGACCTTGTATGGTTTTATTGTATTCGAAGTTGCATGGAGCAATGTTCGAGGTATCAATTACATCAATGAGCTTCAGGTATCACCCCCTTTCTATATCCTTGAACAGTTGTTTGTAGTCCTTTGTAAGTGCCCGTGTTCTATGGTTCATGTGTTCTTTGCAGACTGATACGTCGCTGGCTATAGAGGCTAAATCCATGCAAAGATGGGAATTTGACAGTATTGCTCAAGCTGCAAGCTGCATATCTTCGTGGTTCTCAGGAACAATCTCTGAGCAGCTACAGTTAAAAGAGCATCTGAATTCTTCCGTAGGTAGTATTCTTTGCCCTCATGATTCCTATTTTTGTGGTCTTCATGTTAATAACTTTATGACATGGGCTTTTTTTCTTTTGGCATATGAGCATGAGATTTCTGTACCTGTAGTCAGAATGTGGGGATGTCTTTAGTGGTCATGTTTGGTTAGTCAAAACAAATAGTGCAGCATTGAAAATGGTAAAAATTTGGAAATTTATTTGGGGCTGCTATAGCTTAATTGTTTCGCGATATATGTTCCTTTAAAGAAAAAAATATTATTACTCTGCCGTGCACTGAACCGCAAGGCGTGAAGTATTCATCTTTGCTTGAATCTGTATGATTTTGCTTGAGAGTGAAATTCTGTGATATGCATGATGATTTGAAGGTTATAAAATTCTAACACCGGCAGGAATGGAAGCCACTAGAATGTGAGATGATCTAGAGACACTGTTTAATTTACTTGGATAATCTTCTTATAGCATAGGGACTTGGGATCCCTTGAAGCTCACAAGGAGAAGTTCGAGAAGTTCTTTTTGAACATTTTTCCTTTGTTGGTTTATTAGGAAATTTGGATAAACATATATTTGGAGAATTTCTCTATCTGCACAAAGTGTTATACTGTGCTAAGTGATGGCTGCTGAAACTACTGTGTTTCTTCTACTACCAGTTGAAATGAGGATTCTATGATTTCATTTAATTTTTATTAACATTTCCAGGAGAAGTTTTCTATGATGCTGAAGAGTTTCCAGAGACAGAAACTATGGCGGTTGTTGATGACAATATCTGTCACAATAATCTGCCCACTGGGGAAGATTCTCTCCACTGCCTTAGTCGCAACTTTAGTGTTCATTCTGATATCTGTGAAAATAGGGCCGGTGTACCGCATTCACCGCCTCCACCTACTGGACCCTATAAGAGAAGGAAAATAACAGCGTGTATTAGTGCTGGAGTTGAAGTAGATACTTATTCAGAGGAAGTGCAAAGCCCTGCCTGTGACTCTGAAAGTTCTGAGACGTATAAATGTTACTTTGAAGAAGAAATGCAAAACTCTGAGACTTATTCCTGTTACTGTGGAGATGAAATGCAAAACTCTGAGACCAATACCTGTGATTCTGAAGATGAGATACCGGTGACTGCGAGGGCCTATATCAGTGATTCTGAAGGTGCTGTTAAAGCTACTCCGTTCAGCAAAGAAGCTATACCTGTAACTGTCAATACCTATACTAGTGATTGTCAAGATGCTGTTGAATCTACCCAGTACAGGGATGTGCTGATTTTGTTCAGGTTCAATCACCGTGACCTCCCATTTAAACTAAGAGAAATAATAATGTCTGATCTCCGGTTGCTGACTTTGCTTGAGGCCGGGCTTCCATCTTGGGTTATCTTCCTTCAGTCATACCCTGGGTTTTGCCATATCTATCGCCCATGGATGTGCCCTCTGGCAAGAGCATTGTATGTGCTGATCTCAGTTGTCACTGTTTTAATTGGATTTTATGACCTATACAAAAATGTTCCAGTTCTCAAGGCAACTGCATCTCGTCTTTGTGGGCCTCTATTTGATTGGATAGAGACCTGGTCGATGATATCAAGGATTAAGTACTTGGGAACAATGCTATTTCTACACCACTCTCAGAAAGTTGTTCAGTGGTTTCTGGCAATCAGGAGTACCACGCGATCCTTTTTTTCAGTTCTAGCTCAGCCATTGGTAGAACCTCTTGTGGAGTGTTTTGGATTCCTCCTTCCAGTATGGAACATGCTTATTGATGTATTAGAGAGCCTCTTTTCAGTCATTTGGATTCTGATTGGATCTTCATGCAGTCTAGTCGGGAATCTGATTGAGGTTTTAGTGTTTCCAATATGGTTTCTCCTGTCAGCCATCTGGAGCATTGGTAGGTCATGCAATTCTTTGGATTACCCATCTATTGATTCAAATAGTCAATGGCGTTGTACAATTTTAAAAATCTTCTATTAAGTGCATGTACTCTTGTTTGCGTTTTGTTGCAGGAACTTCCATTGTATATCCTATATTTTGGATTCTATGGGAAGTACTCTATGCTCCGGTTCGCATGGTCCTTTCACTAGCCAATGTTATAGTTTTTATTGGTGCATGCATATATGATACACTTCGAGATATCTGGCAAGTTATTTGCAGCATATTCAAGTTTGCTTCAGCTTCCCAGGCAACTGTGAAAACGGTTGAAGTTTCCATATGGCGTTCACTTTGGAATGACCTCTTTTCTCAGGTTGGAAGTTAAAAAGTATAAATGTTGTTTCTACTTTTTAACAATGTCAGCTAGATGGTTTTATTGATCACCATTCTCTTCTTTTTGGGCTTCAGGTTTTCCGAGCTGTCAGGAGTATATTAAATGGTTTTGTTGCATTCTTCGTAGCTTGTAACAGGCATCGCCTTAGGTATGCTGTTCTTTTCTTTAGCGTGGATATCTTGTTTAGTGATCTTCATTTTTCTGCTCTGGGATGCATACACATTTGCCGTGGTTTCTTAGGCCATCATTAGACCTCATCAGTACAAAGTTCCTTTAAGAACAGTGTTGTCGTTAAGTTACTAGTTGTTTGAGAGACAATAAAACTACCAAGTCAAATGTAAAACTCCGATCCATGCTCCTCAGGCATTGTTCCTGTCCTTCCAGATTCTGGGGTTATGCTAAATATTAGCTTTCTTACCTGGGAAGAAGTCAAATGTAAGATTTCAACATTATTTGTGCAATAGTCATGGGGAAACTTCTGTTGTTATCCTCAATCCTTGGATATTGCAAAAGTAGTCTTCTCCATGGTACCAAGCTTCCCAATTGAACAACCCTTTGAGGAGGTGATCTCTCGTATCTGCCACTCTTAACGGAGCTGACTACCCCAATTCTGATTCATTATGTTCGCAATAGTTTTGACCTAAAGGTTAGGTAACAATATGGAAACGAAGTCTAGATAGGAGATCCCGAGGAGAGATTTCAACTCTATTCATTTGGAAAACCTGTGCGTGTAACTAGGTGGTTTGCCTATGTAGTCACTGATAATTCAGCATGATACTATTTGTGGACCTATGTAAGATTGTGTTAATAAACCCGTGCTTATGATTATTTTGTGATGGTTACAGCATTTATAATCATATACAAGAGTTCACCCAAAGATTCCTGGACCGAACCCAGAGATCACAGCGTGAAGTTTCAAGACGTTATAGGCGCAGCAGAGACTCGGAATTTGGTTAGTTTTCTAATGTGGGAAACTTTAGATGATGAATTTCACGTCCCTGCACAAGGTTGGAGCGCAGAGAGAGAATTGCTGCACCAATAATTGCTGCACCAATAATTGCTGCTGATATTACTACGCACGAACAATTGCACATGTTCTAAATTTCGTTAACCGATTATCATGGTTTTGGCTTTGCAGTTCGAAGTAAGAAGGAAAAACAACCTTGAATAGTTTTTCCACGGCTTTTGGAGGATAACACTATCAATGGGGCACCACCTTCGACAATGTGTGAAATGCTTTCGGCCAAACAAGAGAACATAAAGACGGCGGCATAGTGTAAAGTGTAGGAGTTGATGCGGGTGCTTCTGTTGTGTGCATGTAGCACCTATGTCTGAATACATACCATAGGAAGAGCTCGGTTTCTTTTTTATCCTTAATTCTTTGCGGTCTTGTTTCTACATGTGAATTGTAGGGGGCAAACTATTAGTTCAGTGTATATAATGTTCATTCGATTAATTCATGTTTGAATCTGAATTGGTTTGTAATCAAAACTAATCTTAGGGCATGTTTACTTGATAGAAATAGAATGAGGAATGGATAAATATTTTTCGTAGAGCGATAGAACAAAAAATAATAATAATGGTAAAAATTGCTAAAAATAGACTTGAAGTTGCTATTAAATTTGACAACCATCGTTATTGTCAATTCCCGGCATGCCAAGTAGAAATTGACATTTCGGTTCAAAAACACGAAAGCTATCTTTTGTTTTTTTTGCTATTGCTGATGTGGACTTTTTTGACTCTTTGGAGATACTCTTAAATGGTTAGTTGTTAGGAAAAAGAAAAACCGATCAATTAAATTTGCATCAGGTTGCACATGCTTGATTGTTTTCCGCTACTGCAGTAAAGCAACATTTGCCCTCAGTAAGGAAGGAATGGAAAACTTAGAAATAGGAAAAGTAAGGACAGGTCCAAGGGGAAAATATTTTTCCGATTACTTATGGGTACACAAACTCCGCCTGTGAAGTTTATCTTACATTGCCGGTCCCAAGCCCGGATAAAGGAGGATGGGAAGGGCGTCAGGTAGTCGACAGCCGGCACTCTTTGGTTACGTCGAATCCTTATGAAACTTATGGGTATACAAGAAAAAGTTTAGAAGTGAATTGATTCTCATTCCGGTATAGAAAATGTAGCTGGTTCATAATCAAACTAATCTTAAATCTAAGGATCCTAATCGGATTATAAATTCGAAACTAATCAATATTAGTTAGATAAAGGTCGAAACCATTACAAATCTATATACCAATTCAAAGATGGAGATAAAAATTCAAATTGGACTAAATTCAATCATTTAATAGTCTCGCATCCAGGTACGATAGCATTGCATCCCGACCAATAACACGATGTTATGTGTTTTAACAATCTCACAATCATGTCTGTTCATTGGGACAATGACATACCAACTTAAAATCATAATCTGGATCCAAATTTAAAAGAAAACTAAAAACTTCGACGCCAAATCCCACATACAACATAATCAAAGTTGATTAACAACTACGAAAGGTCTTGTACAAAACTAAACTCACTCGTAATACTTGACAACCGAAGATTCATAGAACAACTTCATTTCCAATCATAGATAATAATATCTACCTTCCACTAAGAGCATGGTAGTATCAAATCTGTACGGCTCCCCCAGTTTGGTGCAGCATGGCGTCGATCTCATCACCGTCCTCCATTTCCAACTGGAACAAGAAAAAAACCACAAACAATTTAGCATGTGAATAAGAAAAACATAAGTGCAAATGCGCGTTCAAGTGTTTGCAATCGTAAGTTTATAATATATGCAGAAAATGAGCAACTGAGCACAAAATGCACAAGTGTTTGCAATCGTGAGAGTGGAAGAGCAGGTGCGTATGTGAGAGAGGGGAGAGGGGAACCTCATCAGGGGTCTGCTCTGCTCGTAGACGACGGCCATCAAACAAGAAGGCGATTGAGTTCATCTCCACAGATTGGCGATCACAATATGCGTTCATAAGCTTCTTCAGTTGAGTACTTCGCTTGATCCTGAAAAACACTTCATTCCCATCCTGCAACGAAATACAATACTATCACTCATCTGCTCATCACACTTTTCGTGACTACAAACTGTTTTGAAAATATACCACTCAAACAAAACATCTGAAGATTATGATTCAATGACTTCGGAATCAACAGCAAGGAAGCCTCAAACTCTGTCACAACTACGGAGTGAAATGAACAAAATACAATGAAGTGAATGCTCATCGGAAGGACGAATAAATAAGGTACTGAATGCAACAGCAAGCGTTCAACGGTGATGTTATAAACCCATCATGCAAAATAAGCAGTTTGCGCACTAAATCGTCAATCGCACAGAAAAACAAACAACAGAGATTGAACTAAATACATCTCCATTATCATCACAAACGATTGCATAAAATAATGAAAAGCATATTGCAAAATCATAAGACCACAAAACCAATTGATTTCTGGGCGAAACCGTCATGATCATAGAAAAAACCCAACTTTAGTTTAACAAGAACAAAAGGTAATAAGATATCGACACAATCACAAGAGCAGATGGCAGACACCAAATATACGAATAAAAAGGCAGCAAACACAGCCTAATTCACTAATCCCTGTTCAAATTGATTAACACCAATTAATTTATCCATTAATTTTCCAAAAAAAAGCAGTAAAACTCTAATCGGAGCAATTAAACTGATTTCTTAGAACAAAAAAATAGGGGAAAAATCAGGCATATTTGGGAAAACCCCAATTTTTTTTCAGAACCCAAAAATTAAAAAACCCATGCGAATCGAATATCACAATCAAAACCAGAAACGTTAAAAATTAAAAAAAAAATCTAAATTGTATACAGATGGGTAAAGTACGATGGTGAAAAATAGAGACCTGTCCTTTGACTTTGAGGTTGATGTGGGCGGCCTGGTCGTTGGGCTTCTTGTCCTCTTCTTGCTGCGGAGTCGACATCCTCTTCTTCTTCTTCTTCTTCTCCCTCTCTCCTCTGCAGTCTGTATCTCTCTCGCTCTAAAACAAAGCAAAATTAGGGTTCCTCTCCGTGATTTTTGTACCCGCTGCGGCGCTACCACCGACGGTTCTTTTCAGTGACCCCGCGCAATAGAGGTCGTATACGTGTTAGAGTTTGATTGGTTGCTGATGGGCCTTTTGAAGTTCAAACGCCCAAGTTATTATTTAAATAGGGCCTTCGAGATCCACGAGGCCCGATAATCTTTTGGTTCAAGGATCATCAATCTTGTTAACAAGTAAGTTGGTTGGTCAAGCAGACTCACCAGCTCATGACGACAATTAAGCAAACTCGTTAGTTCGGAGTATAGAACTCGAGACATCCAATTTTTATTTATTTATTAGGAGTCATAGCAGTTTGCTCCCTTACCATTGGGCCATTTGCTGTGATTGTTGGTCAGTTGTTCATGGTACAAAGTTCGTACTCGTGTATCAGGGTTCGAATAAACTCTATCATAAATTCAAATTGTTTGGTATATCTACTTGTAATTGAGAAATCATAAGTTCGATACTAATGTACTATTTTTGTTCATTGTGTAACTTAGTCTAAAATTTCCACCCATAATTTAAGTATACATGTTGTATAAAAAATGTCGACTTAGAAATTGGTTCAACTGATATTTCCTCAAGTGGATTTTGATGCATCGCTAGGCATGGAACTCAAGTTAGAGAGAACGCTAAATAAAATTGATTTCAATTTGTCAATTTAAAAGGTGAGATATGATCCCTCTTCAGCTCTTTCAATATTCTATAAAAATTACAAATTAAACCATTTGCATATTTAGCTATCGCGAATGTCCTCAATTTGACATTGCTCACAAATCAAACTTTTACGCAATGAATTCTGCCACGGACACAAACCCAAAAAGTCGTCGGTTCACAACGGCATAAATGTTTTAATCATAAAAAGTGATGAACTAGTTGTTGGCTTGTTGCTTGCCTTTCCCGTTAAGCACTGCTCATTTTGCTTGTACCATCCAACGTTCGGAAAACATGATGAGATCATCTCTTCTTTTATTTTTTAATTTTCCCCAAACATCGATTCCCCCAATCCCCATGGACCCCATTGCATTGCATCCTATGTTATCATGAATCATGATTCAACACTCTTCATTATTTCCGTTACAATGAAAATGGAGACCTAAAACGGGAGGTTATAGGTTTAATATTTTATAAATTATGAATCTGTTTGATTGTGGGCATAAATAAAGTGTAATTTTTAACTAGTTTTCTTCGGATTTGAAAAAAATAAATAACCCTAGTTCGTTAATTGTTTTCTCCTCTTTAAAGAGATGGAAATCTAAATATGATGTTGTAGTAAATAAAGAATGTAGCTAGCATTTCTCGTCTTTCTGTTCCAAAATTCCAGCTATTTATTTAACAAGCTGACACAACAATTTATTTAACAACAAAATAAATAAAATTAGACGAACCCTAGGAGCGTACTACGCACATTAGTAGCAAGCAAACCATTTAATATCTGCATACGCAGCGGCAGAGTTAATTAGGTAGAGGTGGATTCTCTATTCTTCTATTTGAATGATTACAATTTAATTAAGTTAATATCTTGTATTAATTTTTTTTATAAAGATAATAAAATAAAAAATAATATGTGAGAGGAGGAAGAGAAATGAATGAAGATAAGAATAAAAGGGGAGAGAATCCCCCTCCTAATTCGGTGAAGCTTAAAACGGTCGAGTTTGTGGGACAATGTGAGAGGAAGACCCATCACGTAGTAGAGATTTTTCAGTATAACCATCACACAAGATGATATATCACGTGTTTTTATATAAATAATAAGATATATATATTAAAAAATTAATAACTTAAAAAATAAAATTTACCCTGTTACTTACGTATCATCCATATTCTTATCGCAAATAAAAATTTCTCCATCACGTAGGGTCTCTTGCGTCAAACGCGTGGGTCCCGCCATCTCGATCCGCACGTTATTCCGCTAACACCATAAAATCCACTCGCTCCCCTCGCTCCGCTCACTGTCACTCACAACCTCCGCCACAGAAAATTAGAAGAGATCAACAGAAGAGGAAAGAAGAAGAAGAAGAAGCTCTCCCACCTTTCACAATGCTCTGCTTCTCCAAGAACCAGAGTATGGAACGCCACGTCATCGCCGTCGTGCTTCTCCTTTCCGTCTTTTCATCTCTAGCAGGTAAAATACCGAGGAAAATTACATTTTTTTTTCTCTTTGTATCTTCATCTTGTAATGGTGTTTTGGGTTCTGATATTGTGTCGTTTTGTGCTACATTTGTGCAGATGCGGGCTCGGTGGGAGTGAACTATGGCAGAATCGCAGACAACCTGCCGTCGGCGTACAAGGTGGTGCAGCTTCTGAAATCCCAAGGCTTGGAGCGGGTGAAGGTCTTCGACTCCGACCCGGCCGTGCTCCGGGCCCTGTCAGGATCTGACATTAAAGTCACCGTCGACCTCCCCAATGAGCTCCTCTCAGCCGCCGCCAAGTCGCAGTCGTACGCCACCAACTGGGTCCAGCGAAATGTCGTCGCTTACCACCCCAACACC